ATGGACAGAAAGAAAACCAAGGACTTGATGCAGATGTTGGGTTTGAAGGAAGCGGTAGATCGGTTGGTGAAGGCAAATGGGGTACGTTGGTATGGGCATGTGCTGAGGAGGGAGGATGGGCATGTATTAAGAAGGGCCCTTGATTTAGAGGTGAGCGGTCCAAGGAAAAGGGGAAGGCCAAAGAAGACGTGGAAGATGCAAGTGGAGGAGGAGAGTGGGAATGTTGGGATGAGGATGAGGGATGCTTTAAATCGTGCAAAGTGGAGGGAGGGGGTAAGAGCGATTGCCACTAGTTTAAGGTGAATCCGGCCACCCTCGTCTTCGGGGACCAAACCGGATTTAAAACTCTGGACTACTACTACTACTACTAAGTTATTATTGTCATATTTTTAGTTACAATTGAATTAATCAATCTCCAAATAAAAACCACCTGCCAATAAAAATCAATTTCTTTGAGGAACTTGGATGATCTTGAAACAAAGGTTTGACTGTACCAGTGAATAGAAACAATGATCTACTATGATGAGCATGGTATTTGACAGTCAACCATGAACTACCATGGTCATCCACTAATTCCAATAGTACACAAGACCATAACTGCCTCAGCACAAAGAATGTTGTGTAATGGAAGGGAATTTAAAAGTAAATGTATTGTAGTGTTACCCCTGTGTAATTTACGATATATCTGAATTAACCTTCACTGTGAAGGACAATATAGGAGTTGACTTAAATGGCTGGTAGAAGCAAGGTTGGGCAAATTTTGTGAAATAGTAGTTAGTTAGAATTACCAGACATTCAATTGAGACATTGTGGGATATCGAATTATGGATGATAAACAGCATGGGCGCTACGTCAGACAAGTATGGTATGTATAAATTATACAAGCAATAGAGTAACATCGGTTTGTATTTCAATTTAAAGAAAATGTGGAATGTGGGAGGCCAAAATACAGGACACCAGTCAACAATAACCTATAAAAACACTTTATACTTTGATAACAGTAGAGCTAAAAATGACAAAAATATTGAAAATTGAAAATATTCCATGAAACTAACAAATCTGGATATGTTACCAAAGGAAAACATATACTATCAAACCAATCGGATTAGCCCTTTTTTGATACCCCTCAAATAGCGCCCTCAGTTGCTGGTGGTGTAATTTATTGTTGTCAGCCTTATGGGAGCCTCTGATTCCTCTGTCTTTGTTGTGATTGTGATTGTGATGTGGTGTGATATGGCAGCCTTTGCTGTTGTATTTAGCACATCCATGTAACTATTATATTGTCTGTCAAGTTATTTTGTGATGTTAGGAGGGCACTGTTTGTGCCACCACTAATTGTGAATTACTAAGCAAAATTGTTTGTGACCTCCTGAACTGGGAGAGAAAGAGAATTCTCTCTCTCACATGTTCTAAATATTATCAACATCAAAACTTTTTCAGTTGCAAAGAAGTTAAAGCGAATTTCAGAACTACCGGTAATATTTTTTTGATATGTTACACTTTCAACATATCAGCTATTGTGGTGTCAACCAGGCTAGGTTGAACACAAGCACCCATGGACCTTATAAACAAAGGTTCCCCAAAAGTTGCATTCAATAGTGAATTGTGGAATTGGCCTTCCCATTGAGTCCATGACACACTCACCCAGGGAAGGAGTCAATGCTTGTTGGTGTTCAGCCTAAGGTAGGATTTGAACTTAGGTCTATCTATTATGGATCTGATGCAACAACCACTATGCTACAACCGACAGTTTTGATATGTTACACATAATTCACTGTGACCTTGACCTTGATCCTATAGTGTGATTGGTTACTAAAATGTGATGTCATACAGTACACTGAAATGTCATAAGAATAGTTGCAATTCAACATGCAACCTTAAAATAACACTTTACACTTTTTATAATTATTATGTGGAAGTGACCAGATGACCATGAACTACTATGGTCTACATCATTGTTAAAAGGCATTATTTACTATGGTGATTAAACATTGTAGTTTGTGCCATTTAACGACCATGGTTGACCAAAGATGAATATATGACCATAAATTGCCATGGTAGTTTTTAGCTAACCATGGTCACTTTTACCTGGGGTAGATATATTGAGTTAGTCATTGTCAAGCCTTCAATAGTTCACATGCCTCAATTTATTCAATATTGTGTAGATTTATATCAGTGTGGGCAGTATTCATTGCTTTGTGCATATAACACTGACACTGTTATAGTGAGAATATTGTTGGGATCTCAATCTGAGTGCAGTAAATGACATAGACCCCTTCAGATTAATTTGGCTTGGCAATCATTAGCGACCTTATTTGATTAACAATTAATGTTTAGTTGTTGCTGGATACTTGCTTACTTTAGGCACGTATCTTGTGTATCGTTTGAGCACTGTTCAAGTTTACCGGTAGTTGTGGAACACTATAGACCCTTCAGAATTAACATAATTAAACATTTTGAGAACATCTTTGGCACTCATGAGACTGAATGCATGGGTTACTGAAGATCTATCTAGTGTGTTTATTCTTGACACATACTGTGGTATTGGCAGAGTTTATTTTAAATTGTAGGACCTGTTTGGTTAATAGTGTACAGAAATTATTGGTAATTGGTAATTATTGGTTTAATTGTATTTTATGACAATACTGTTGTAGTGAATTATTGTGTTTAGTTGGTGTTGTTATTATAATAAATCGACAGCCTGTGTTTTCATGTTTACGACTACTGCTTATGTGTTGTGTTCAATTTCTTGTACCAGTATTAACTAATCCATCCCCTAAATATACCTGCGCCCCACTACTCTGGACCCTAAAGTCTTTAGCTTGTGTATGAGCCAGCCTCCTCTAGTGGTGGAGAAGATAAATACTGGTTGGCTGCTGAGGTTATTCAGACTGGTGGATAGAGAATTATCATTTGCTTGCCAGAGTTTTATAACGACCAGAAGATGAGGTGACAGCTAGCCCCACTTAATGTCGGTGGAGCTAAAAAGCACAATAATGAAATTGGCCCACAGGCAAACATTCAAATGATGCATTATACATTTATATGTAGGTTGTCATAGTAGCATACTTAGTAATATTTGTAAATTTTTAACTTGTTTTTTCCATTTAAAAGACTGAAGTAAGTAGTTACGTTTTTGAAATATCAGTTGTAATTATTTTGATCAATCTTCCATTCAAAAGGGCTGCTTAAAGCTGTTATGCAGAAAACATGGAGTAGTTGTATAAACTTTTCTTCAGCAAAAGAATTTGTACATTTTGCTTTCAACTTTTCAACATATTTACAACATACATGTATGACGTTATGAGTGTGCTTTTCTCTGACCAGTATACGATAAGTTATGTTTCACAAGCACGTGAGTTGAACATACCAGCGAACTGTGCGAACCTGATGTCCTAATACATGTACAAGGAATATTACACTAGAAAATGCTTTCATGACAGTGCCTTGCCTAGAAATATCTATCCAGAAATGGTGGTCATTTAATTGTGTTTTCATTGGTTTCTCAAAAGCTTTTGATCAGGTGAAACATACCCTCTTTCTCATGGTTTGTATGGTTGAGTTTTAAAATACTTGTAACAAAATATAATGAAATTAAATCATGTGTATTATTATACATCTGTCACCGTAACGCTATAAGTTACAGCGTGCCATAATTTTGCAGTATTCTACAGGGTATTTTCATTCTACCATATAAGGAAATACAAATTCCAAATATGGAATGATTACTCATGTAAGCATCCTCTAATAATAAAAACAAACATGGTGAACATCGAGGTTTGACCGTACTCCACACAAAAAAGTTCGCTAATTCTGTTCTAAACTTTTTGGATTTCGGCATTCTTATGATTGTATCCTTGGAAGGAAAAGATGTCTAATAATAAGGTTATTACGAGAATACCTCAAAGTATGCACTCAGACAGTATGCCGCGCATCGACCTTCGCTGCGCGTCGGTTGATACTCCATCTGTACTGTCTTTGTGCATACTTTGAGGTATTCCCGTAATAACCTTATATTACGCAATCTTACAGATTATTTTGAGTGTAAAATAGGTACGAGATAAGGCCCACTTTCATTTACTTCATCAAGTTACAAAGAAAAATGAACCAATTTTTAATATTTTGTGATCATTGGGTCATGTCTGTATATTTAGATAAAGCCAAACCAGTTGACAAACTCAAATATTAGGTATCTTGGCCTAACTGCTGCCATGGTAACACCACTTTTGATTGATTGACCACTTGTCACATCATGTGCATGTTTACAGATACACAAAAAATAATATTGTAAGTATTATTAACATATGGTTAGGGAAATTGATCATGCCTCATCCATTCAAATAAAACATCATCCATTTTAGAAAAATTGCCATGCATGTTTTATAAGTACGAGGATTCAATATATACAATATATAAGTACAATATAGTACATATTTTGAGTAAAAAAAGTGGAAAACATCATATTCCCATAAGATAACTATAAAATGAAAATAAATTATAAAATAGTTTCAAATATCTCACAACATTATCAAGTTACTATATAAATATTATGTAAATACTCATCTTTAAGAACAATCAACTACAATGTAGTAAACTTTCTGTCAAATTATAGAGGTTCAGACTGAATTGAAGATTATATGTCCTTTTTTTTATGCTTTCATTATTATTGCCATTTAAAAATTGAAAAAAATAATTGGGTCATTGAACAATTTTTTAAAGCCCAAGTTTGCATTTAATGGTGAAATTATTTTCTCATATTTATAATTTTGCATGATCTAGATATCATTTTAATATCGTCATAACATTTTTTTTTTAAATGACTTTTAATTTTCAGTGTGATTATTTTCTTCTATTACATGCATTACCATACTATCCCCATAATGCATTGCCACATATGTGCAGTAAAATGCTCAGTAGATGTTCAGTAAATGTTTCTGGTCAATTTAATTCATAAAATCGGCACGCATGGGTGGTTTTTTATTTTTATTCTGAAATTATCATTAAATTGGTGATTTTCCATGCAGTAACCCGAAAAGATAAATATTTGGGAGGACTTGAATGCTTAACCCAACAATTTATTCTAAAATATACATGAATGAATCGCAATAACTGAGGTGATAACAAAAATTAAATATGAGATAGAAAAGTGATGTTCTGTCCCTGAACATAATATTTTAATACATTTTTCACTGTTAACGTCTTCTAAATGTGTTATTTCCTTTTTGTTAATCATGAAACTTGGTTCAACTCTTACACAAAGACTATTAAAATCTTGGCATGAAACATTAGAAAGATCTATTATCATAGGAACATCCACTGTAGTATAGGTTGAATCAATAATTTGAACATTAGCAAAGTCACTAGCAACAGGGAACAAGGTTACTTCACCAACATCTTTACTGATATTACCATGACGATTCAGAATGGAGGTAAATAAGGACCAAGGTTGCAGACTATCAAGTATTGTGTTAAAGGAATCCTTCGTTGATAAAGAAACAAAAACAAGTAGAGAGTGCCCTCCACCAGTGACGAAGATGTTTTCTTGTGGCTCACGGATGAAAACTGACTCAATATTTACTCTGAATTCTTCGGCCGATATAACAGTAGAATTCATCTGTATGCTCTCATTTGCTGCATATCCACAGGTTAACAGATTATGGTGGTACAACAGTAGGAAGGAAAATACACAAAAAAATCTCATCTTCATGTTATAGTATAAATACACAGTACTATTAAAATCCTATTATTAACCATGATATGTAATACAACTGTTTGCATCAAGTAAATACTTGAGTTCAAACTCAAATTTGCATACAAGAAAAATAAAGCCTGAAGAGACAGATTATTCTTTTATGATTACATCTATACATTTAGTTTCAGGAAAAACATTGTCAACTTATTTAGGAATTAGTTTATGGACATTAAGTTTTTATGATTTGTCACATAATCTGTTAGTTGAAACTTCGGTGCAATTAGTAATTAGAATGCAGTTAATAACAGGGTTCTAACAATATGTATTATACATGTAAGTGATAATTGCAATGATGTTTTTAAAAATTGTTTCATTTTTGAAATTAGCAAATTTTTTGCTGCAAAAAGAATGTTGAAAAGTATGAAACAATTAAACAATCATTACAAATTGCTCAAATGTTTCTAAATCAAAGTTTGAGATTCATATGCTGGTTTGGCCATAACATTTTTAATAATACTTAATGACCTTGCTACAACATATTGTTTGATAAATTGTTTAATACCGGATTCTGCAGTAAATTGGCCCATCCAAAAAAATCACTGGGCAATTTCATGACTGGTGGGCCCTTTTTTGGGGATGAAAATTTAAAAAAATGATCACCAAATATTTTTTTGGGGACCTCTATTTTTATACGCGGACTTTCAACGCCGGCAGTTGGACCACCCAAGACGAAAGAAACTATTGCAAAAGCTAATCTGAAATTTTATACATTTTTTTTCTTGCTGAATTAAAAAGTAGACCGTCTAACATTTCATTACAATGTCACACAGTATCATCTTTTTCCAAAAAAATCACATTAACAAACCTGGTACGCTAAGGGAACTGATCATTACCACCAAGCCGGTTTCCTGTGAGTCTCCTGCGGCATGCGTTTCTTTACCGTACCGGCCGCTGCTTTACCGTACCGGCCGCTGCTTTACCGTACCGGCCGCTGCTTTACCGTACCGGTCGGTTCTTTACCGTACCCGAAGGTCATTACCGTACCGGCAAGGCCGTTACCGTACTGGCAGGAGGCAATTCACACTTCTGACAAGTTAATTTATGCATTGATTTTCCGGTTTACCGGTAAAATGCCGACCTGTTAAATTTCAGTTTTATGCACA